ATAACGTTTTTTTACAATCTTAACAACTAAGTAATCAAAAGTTGGATAATCAATAAATAATCAAATAAATTAAGTGTAGTGAGGGTTTAAAATCAAAATTTAAACAATCTAAACTAATTTGAATGCAACAGAATAGTTTATACAGTTTTCAATCTAGGCAAGAAGTAAAAACCATAATGATTTGTAGGGTTAACGCATAACTTTATCTTTATATCAATCTCCATTAGCATATTGGGGGAAAAAATAATTTTAACACTGTATACATTTGTCAACTAATAGAAAGGAATAAAAACCAAAGCCTTATATCTAAATTGAAATTGTTCGTACGGTTATAAAACATTATTGTTCCCTTATATTGATATGTAGATTTTGCAATTGCAATAGTGTGAAGTTGTTCAGAATAATTTCATATATTAGAGGTTAACTGTAAGAAAGGACCATGAGGTCATAAGTGTGCCTCAATAAAGAACAATTTTCATTTCATCTCATCTATGACAGCAAGGAATCCAATAAAGTACAATCTATTCAAGCATTGAAACCTCATCCATAGGCAGATACGAAAAAAAAAAAACAAAAACTAAACATTATAGTACGCCCGTTTAGCTATACCCAGCGGATTAGGAACCTTCTCGGAACTCAACTCACCCTCCCAACCCGCTCGCTAGGCTGGCCGTCGATAAAAAGTTTAAGTAAAAGTTACCGGTAATAAAAGTTTAAATCGGACAAAACTGGTCCGATTCATAGTAATTGTACTAATTTCAGATTGTAGATATTAAGTATCCACATCGTGTTTGGGCTCAGTAATTTTGGAATTTCATGTAGAAATCAAATTTATAAAGAACAATTTATTTTGAGTTAAAATAAAAAAAGTTACAGAATTGTAGGACTGTGACAGTGGGTGAGTCACTGTTTGTCTCCGGCCAGCCCAGCGAGCGGGTCGAGAGGGTGAGTTGAGTTCGGAGAAGGTTCTTAATCCACTGGGTATCATAGCCAAACGGACGGACTATAATAACACATTTAAGAACTTCTATTATAACACTTTTTTGTTCCTTCAACTCACTATTTTGAAAAATAATGTCATTTGTAGCAGGCTTAGGCTAGGATTATACTAGGACGCTTGCGTCCGGGATGCTGGCATCCGAGAGGCTAGCGTCCCACCTCGAGCCGAAAAATGACGTGATTTGTGTTAGGATGCTAGCCTCTCGGAATGCCATTTTATTTCAATGTTTAGTCACTTTTTGTAACATTAAATAACATTAGGTTTAACGAGTACCAAGGTTTTATGCTTTAAGGGGGCTATTAAAGTGTGTTTTTTAGTAAAATACTGTATTATTAGCTTAGTATAAAACAAATTGGCCAAGTTTACTCGAAATATATCCATACACAAGCAAATTCAAACACTTAACAACATTTTATATAAGAATAACATAGCAATTTTTAATATACTCTTTTTTTAATTTTCTCCATAACTAATAACAGTACAAAAACACTTAAATATAGGTACTAAATTATTTGTTTTTAAGCTCATTAAAATTGTCTAGAGAGAAATTGTGAATTTTTTAGTTTTATGGGTCAAAAATGACAAACCCTATTTTTTTTTTGCACATAAACCCTGTTCCCAAAGTATGTTCATGCTGGTTCGCGAACTCATTCAAATTTATCCCACCCTTCACCTTAAAACCAAATTTCTTCAAAATAGAACAAAAGCTACTCCAGTTATCGCATATACAGACATATATATTTGGATATTTAAATCTATACGAACGGAGGCGTTTTTGGCCTCTGGGGACATCAAAATGAAAAAGTAAATCGGTCCCGGGCCTAGGTTTTACCATGCCACCTACGGTAATAGCTTCGAGCGTCCGGTGGCTTTTTTTAGCATCTGTCGCTAGCATCCATAGTATAATCGCCCCCATTTGATTTAATGCCCCGCTAGCGTCCCGGACGCTGGCCTCTCGGACGCCAGCGTCCTAGTATAATCCTAGCCTTAATTCACACACTCAATATTGATTCCTAGTTTTATTTATCTTAAAAAATACTAATTTTGGTATTAGATTAAGCACCCTTTAGATTACCAAATTCAGATTACTGGGACTCTATTGTAGTTTAAATAATAGCAAGATATTTCAAACTATAGCAGCCCTGACAAAAACATAATGATTATCATTCACAAAACAATTGAATTATTGTCAGATTAAAATTGTTTTACAACAGACAATGACCTTGAACTGAGTAAATCCTTAAAAACACCAGTTGCGTTCAAAAACATTTTAAGTACTACATTATAGCGCAAAATTAACAATATTATAGTACTGTAGCAGTATACATGTTATTGTTAAGTGTTGTTGTACTACTTACTGGATAATTTTAAGGCAAAAATTCTGTATGCTGTTTCCTTGGACCACAAAGGTTCAGCCTATAGATTTTCAAAATTTTATTCTGGGTTTGACAAACACCCTCAATAAAGGCAAAATATTTGTTATATTGATAATTTGTAAGGAAACTTAACATATTATTAATGCCACCCTTCAATGACATCTTTACAAGCAAAACCATCTATGCTAATTAATAACAAACTTAATTTAATATCTAAAAATTATCACAATAAACAAAAACACAATAACACAATACACAATAACACAATAAACACAATAATCTAAAAGGTGTGACTTTATAGTGCACTGTCTTTGGGGGCAAACTATTTCAACCACGTCTTTCTCATTAAAAATAATAAAAGATCTTGAAAAAAACTTAATAAAATAAAAATTGTATATTACATATTTAAATGCTATATTGCCTGTATTAACATGGTAACAAAGCTAAAGATTTTAACAACTATAAAGCTTTTCTCATATTTTTACATACTTTGGTGTTCATTTCACCGTATTTTGTAACAAAACATATATATAAACAAATACATCCTCCAATCTAATTAACCCTTAAGCATGCTAAATATTTTTTCGTTATATTTTATAACAGTTTTTAATTAGGTCTACTATAAAAAAATCAAAGACTTATTACCATAAAATCAGAGAGCAAATTAAATAGTTGGACAAATTTTATAATTACACTCGGTGTTTCTATTTGGAATGTCCTTATTCAACAAACAAAAAATAAACTAAACAATCTTCCACAAAATAGCATTAACAATGAGATAAACCACAATTTTTCTACTATCACACATTCCCTATGATATATTTAACAAATATATATGTCTCAAAATATATAACATAGCCTATATATATTTCTAAACTAGTTTTTAAATTAATCAAACATCTTTACTTATAAAACGTGTATAATAAACATGCAAAAAACTTAACAGCAATAAGAGTAAAAAAAAAATATATGATTCAGACACCATAATCTAACGAAAAACGTAAGACAGTATCAAGACCAGGGTTTCGACTGTTTCCTAACAAAAACGTTAGCGATTCATACTCAAACAAAAACGTAAAATATTAACTTGTGATAGAGTTTACAAATCTTACAGTTAAGCGTTAAAAGATTTTTGACAGATTCCCATTGAAAACCTATAGTTTTCTCTGTGAAAATTAATGCAGCATTCAAAGTTTTGTTATTTTAAAGACAATTTATTGAGTGTAACTACAGGGGGATGTTTATAGTGGTTGTAGGATGTAGCACCTCAGTCTTACTGTGTACTGTAAAACCTTTTGGAAAGTATGAAGGTTTAATTATACTTAAATATCTAATAGAAAGTAAATATAAACTCTTATTAACAAATGCAAATAGTTTGGGATTGTCAAGTTTCCCTTAAGTCTTTTTTCAACAGCTCGGTGACTAGAACAAAAACTTTGAGGTAATGTGATCAGATTAGGAGTTACTAAATTACATATTTTAAACCATCGAATCGGTTATAAGAACACTAGGTAATAACAGGTACAAAACAAATTATTATGTAAACAAATAAAACAAACTTAACAGTCTTTGTGCCAACAACCAAGATAATGACAAGATTTGACATGCTATTCCCATGTTAAAGTTTCAACTATAGTTTAGTTTTAGAATGAAAATTAGTATTTAAATTGAGCCACTACAATGTAAATTACTGATTTCTGTCAGATATTCCAACATTTTGACCATGCCAAACTGAAAGGACAACTCATTTAAAACTACAGTGAAGATGTCTCATCAACTATCCTAGTAACAGTAATAATTGTACACTGTAGAGCGTAATGTGAGTGGCTTAATCAATCAATCAACATAGAAAATAGTAATTGGTAATTGGTGTGATCCAAACCTCAAACCCAGAAAATTCATGCTATAATTGCAAAAAAATGACGAGATTGTACTTAGTTCACTGCAATTCAAACAAATGTTGGAACATTTTCCTCTTGTTCAGTCAATAAACAAAAATTATCAAATTTTATACGAAGAAACTTATTACTAGGTATTGTATAACATAGAGCCTAGCAATGTGTACTTTAATGTCACTTCAACTACCATAGTAGCATAGATAAAAGATACTCCCTTAGATAGTAGTTAATAGAAACAAGAGAAAAAAATATAAATTTTCCTACAGTAACCCGACAAAGTGGGCTTCCTTGCACTGACTATAGTACAGAAAGCTTCATTGCTTCATTTACTTACTTTGCCGCACGCTTTTTACTTTGTCGCACAGTTTTTACTTTCTCGCACAAGTATTCCAACCAAACAACAAAAAACAGTGTGCTCTTATTAAGCAAGTAATCCGTGTACGCTTGGAAATAGGTTGGCCACACTTTAACCTAACCTAAAACGTCTTGTTTAGTGTTTGCAAAACCAATTTATTTCTATGCTTTATAATAACTGTAGGGAATAGTATATTTAGTCACGAAAGTGACCCATTTCGGGGCAAGATAGTGTTTTACATGCAAGTCGAAGACGAGCATAGGAAACACTATCGAGCCCCGAAATGGGACTTTCATGACGAGTATTGAACGATACTTTTGATCACAATGAAAAAAAAACAACCTTATCAAACTTAATAAAATTATCTGATATTTTGTAACCTATTCTTTTTTCTTCACTTGTAACATAGTTGATGCCAGGCAAAGTATTGTTTGGGTAGCAAAAGTAATGTTTATGTCAGGAAAAGTCAGCTGATCACCACTAGTTTTTAGTGTAAGAAAATTGATGATTTTCGAAGGCCTAACGGCACCGGATGGAACTAACATAAAAGTCGTCTTCAGCTGATCCATAAGGATGACAAATCTACTATATGAGTATGTTTAATCTATGGTATAATCAAACAAAATGCATATTGTAGCATCTTTTGGTTGTTGGCACATATAAAAACAGATAATTTACGAGTGACTTGTACTGTTAGTTTGACAATACCACATGAGATTACCGTGTGTACAGCTGCCTACAGATCCGAACTGTGTGATGATGAGATAGAGACCAGTCAAGGCTACACACAGACCAAACACGACCACTCCCAGGGCTGGCAACTGGTCCTTGGATAACACAGAGCCAGGACACAGCTTGAGATAAGTAGCGGCTGGTAGCACAAAGGCCAAAGGAACTGCCGCTAGCACACCCTACAGCATATTGATTATTTATAAACATTCATACACAAATTGCAATACTATAAAATTGACAATGGGAAAATTCAATTTTTTACCCTGTATACTCATAGGTAGGGCTTTGATAGAAAAAAAACATATAACATGAGACAGACTAAATTGAAGAAATAAAACTTAAGAGTTGGTACACAAATATTAAAGCTTCTGTAAGACAAGAAATTAAAAATATTAGACAAAGTTATTAGTGCTTGCCTTCTAATCAGAAGGATGCTGATTTCCAACTCCAAGTGGGATCAATTCTAGACCCCGATGCAATTTGTTGTTGGCCTATTAATTAATTATGCTTTCTAACACACGGTCAATGTTAAAGAAACAAGGCAAAGATAGATTTGTACTGTTCCCTATACAAATTATAAAAAAATGTAAATGGTGCTATAAAAAACAAATAGCCTACATAAAAAATGTAAACAAAAAAATAAAACCACTGAATATCAATCAAAACACGTTGCACATTACACAGGTCAAAATAGAACAATAAAGATGAGAAATTAACTCACATTTAACTCGAGCACAATACCCAAGCAGTCAGTGCTGACAGATACCAAGTAGGCGGCCATGACAATAGCGAGAGTGACGCCACGATGTGCCCGAGCAGTTTCTAAATGTCCCCACACAGCCTCCACAACTGCCCGGGTCACCAGACACTCTATAGGGAATGTCAACAGTATGGTGGCACTGAACACCACACGTGAGAGGTTCATAAGGTCATCGTCCCAGCAGAAGTTCTCCAACAGGTCACCTATACGAGAGTTCACATTAGGAATTGAAGATTACCTGAATCTGAATGTTTAGTTAAAACAAAGGGGAGCAAAATAAATTGATTCTTTTAGATTGACTGGTGGTACTGTTCATTGAAAAGAATGAAGAATGACTGCTGTTTACAGGTAACAAAGGAGATTTGTATCCAACCAATGTTCACTTGCCATAATGCAGTAGACACACAAGGAGGGCTTATTTTGTAATGGTATTCTTTTTTATCTCTCTCTCAATTATTGCTGTAGAGCCTGTTTTTCATTGCTGATTTGTAGGGATGGGCAGGATTGAATTTTTAGTTTCGGAAGGGACTTGACTTGATTATTGTTGTAATCAAACTACACGTAATAAAAAAATAACATGTTAAATAATTAAAGTTTTCAACAGGAAGTATTATTTGTTCAACCAGGTCAATGAAATATATATGTTTGTTGTCTTTTGAATACATAGCAACGAGTAGTATTATATGCAATTTAGTATAATAAATTGTTGTTTAATGTCATTAAACAGCTAAAATTATAGCACAGTCCGTTAATACAATATAGCTAACTACACAAAAAGAGACACTTTTCAATACCTACATAATTTTTAAATATTACAACTGAATAATCTTATTGTTAAGAAACTTTTGTGGCATTTAGAATAATGGAAGTGATTAAAACCCATAACCAACAAAATCCAACAGTATGTTGGTCAATTTGCTAACTCTACTTTAATTAATAACAAATAACAGGTGATTCAGAGGTTATAATACCTTCATGGATACAAACAACATCTATAAGCATTGTCATTTTATTGTTTTCTAACTGAAATGAAGACTAACCTTGCACATATCCAGTGAATGTGGTGTAACCAACAAGTCCAAACACAACGGTGACAAGGAATGAAGCAAACACAGAGTAATGAGTGACCTTGTCCCACTTCTCCTGGGTAGCTTCCTCTATGGAGGCGTACAGTAGGAACACGTTGTGATGACACATGAACGCTGCAGAAAGCCAATTGAACATATCACTCACTACGAAGTATGATGGGGACACAACCAAGTATAAATGAACGATTAGTGTGGGATCAGTGGGATCTAGCCTCCTCAAATACAAGGGCATGGCGAGACACAAGTGGCAACTCTGCTGTCTCAGCCAATCCAAAGAACTGCATCACTAACTTTATACGGAGCATCTGTGCAATGCTAAATTTGATTGTATGTAATTACACTTATTACTATATTAGCGAGTGAAATGTTGCCACATTGTTTGCCGAGGCCTTGTGTTGGAGGTGGCATTGGTTAGATGCCTTGTGAAGTTTTCTTACTTAACTAAGTTAAGCTGTTTATAACACAGGACTGTTTATTAAAAAGTAAAAATCCAATGAACAAGGGCAGCTGGTTCAGTTTCATTCAAACTACTGACTTTTGTCCCGATCAAACCGGTGATTTTTTTACTACCAAACAAGGACTATAACCACCTACCAAATTTAAGTGGATACTGTAAGTAAAGCAGTTTACTTACTAAGAACTGCATTGTAACATTTTAATCCTATTTTGAGACAAGTTTCATATCCGATTATATTTGAGTTTACTGATATAATTTTCTCTTGTGTTATAGCAAATTTGATACTTGATAGTGAGTAGGCCTACTTCAGTTTAAAGTACTACAAGAGATATACTGATATACAGTAGAGAGTCAAAAATCCGAACCAATTGGGACCGTAGGTAGTTCAGATTACCTATTTGTTCGGATTTTCAAACATAGCCAAGAAATGCCTAATATAGACATATAAATAGGCCTACAGTATTGAAAGTATAGTTCTAGGATACAGTGAATGAAACAAAAACAATGATTTTTGTACTTAGGTATTTTTGTTACATTACCGTAATTTGTTTCTTGAAAAAATATGCACATTCAACAAAACACAGACTGGCTCGGCCCGTTCACTCATTTCCCTGCCGAGCGCCAACCGTTTGGCCCACGAAATTGTAAAACAAAACATCTGTTGTCTCTGTCCTTATTCAATATTTTAAATCTCTCAGGGGCGGTTCGGATATTTGACGTTTTTGGATTTTTGACGTTCGGATTTTCGACTCTCTACTGTACTGACAAATAGACCATATTTTAGAAACACAGGACAGAACCATTTCACAATTCATAATAAATATAGGGTCTTACCAAAAGCCATGATGCCAATTGCAGGGATTACTCCAGAGTTTGAAAATTCAAATGCATCCTCAGTGGGTGGCCTGCAAGGAGAAAGGGAATTGCAGGAATAAAGTCAAACAAAGCTAGGAATAGAAAAATCTTTATGGACAGATGACAGACATTTTGTCATTAGGGACGCATATAGCGGAAGCGGACAGAGACATTCATTGTTTCACAGAGGAAATCAACTTCCTTAATCTTCTGATTGTCTCAGCTCTTGATCTGCAAAGCTAGCTAGATCCATATAGGCATATAAGTATTACTATATTAAGATAATGAGGTAACTGGACGTATTTTAACTCAAATATGAGTGAAGGATGAGTTAATGGAGATGCTTAAGCTAGTATGTTTTGTTCAGTGGCGTAGCCAGGTTTGGAGCACCCAGGAGCATAAATTGTTCAAGAGCTCACACCCACATACAACATCACAAACAATCAACAAACATCACTCTCCTTGATACATAATTAGGCTACCTCTTTAAAAGGGTTTGTCAGTTGTTGGTTTATCGGGTTTTTATAATAAAAAAAACAAAATTGGAATTAGTAGAAAATGTTGGTTTTGGTTTGTTGAATGTTATGCAATATTTTTCTACTACGGCAATGATGTTGGATAAGATGTGGACTGTGTTTCCGCAATCGCACGGTTAGATTTTGCCATGACCAAAGGAGTAGAAAATAGCCTACTGGTTTTGGATTGTTGAATGTTATGCAATATTTTGCTACTGTGGCAATAATGTTGTATAAGATCTCGATTGTGTTTCCGCAATCGCACGGTTAGATTTTGCCATAACCAATGGAGTAGAAAATAGCCTAGGTACTGGTTTTGGATTGTTGAATGTTATGCAATATTTTTCTACTACGGCAATGATGTTGGATAAGATTTGGACTGTGTTTCCGCAATCGCACGGTTAGATTTTGCCATGACCAAAGGAGATGATGATACACCATCATAACGCCAGACATGCATTAGATTTCACCCTTCCAATCCACAAACTATCACATACTGAAAGAAAACCATCCTACAAAGGAGCTAAATACTTCAATCTCCTTCCAGAACAATTAAAACAACAGAATAATTCATCAATTTTCATGAAAAAAAAATCACAGGCTGGTTCTTAGAGAGACCCTTCTACACCGAAAAAGAATTCATCTCACTTCATCTCACTGTTCACTCTTCACTTGTTGAGTGAGGAGACAAGCTTAAGTAAGAAGCTCTGACCCATCATATCCTACATGCGTTACTTTAAATACTTTTCATTGAAATGGCGACCATAAAAAGTAGGTATTTTAAGCAAAGTATCAATGGACATGAGTGTAGGATGAGTGGCGCGATCGTTTAGTCTTGTTAGTGACTAAAGCCAACATATTCCTTAGACACAGCTTTAATAGCCCAAACAGCTAATGGCAACTAAGGGACCTACAGTTTATAGTGGAATCCGAACCACATTTTTGCCTTGGTATTAACGAATTGGTCTAATTAATTATCAGAGTACCGGTAGTACTGCCTTTAGTCCTAATACTCACTAGTTCGGACGTTAATCCACACCTGGAAGTATCACATCCACAGTGCATGCCTATAAATATCCACAATTCGTGATCTCCTAGTAGCTGGATTACAGGACGACGCCACTGTCCCAGTCAAGTTTATGCACACCTACACTATGAATCAAAATCACGCGATCAATGAAAGTCTTGTCAAGCTAAGGGTACGGTTGGTTATTATATGTTCAGTTCTATCCCTTAAAAGGGGTTGTTTAGGAATAAAAATATACGAACTTTTGGATATTGTGGTGATTTTAAGATATACACATGAGATGGTAAAGCTTCTAACATTCCTGATAGCGAAGCAGTAGTTATGCAATTAAATACTTTTGATTTAGGCCATATTTGGTATATCAATAACTGGTACAATTCTTCCGGACTGTTTAAGCGGTTGTTAGAAAGAAACACACATGTTGTAGCCACAGTCAATCTGGAAAGACAGGAGGAATTTGATTCTGCCAAATTGGAAATGGGACGAGTGATTCAGCGAAGCAGGGATGCCAACATAGCTGTGAAGTGGAAGGATAGGAAAAATGTACATTGCTATCAACAATTCATACCGGAATCAAAATGAGGATTCAAAGGTGTGTTGTGTCAGAAGGGATAAAGCCCAAAGGTATAATAGAATAGAGAGATGTTCATGATTTTTCCGTGATCGTCAATGACGACGATGACGTTTCTGTGACCGCGGGAGACGATGATAATGTCTACATGCCCGCAGGACATGGATAAGAATTTTGCCGCAATGACGGAAGACAAGGATAATGACAACGGGACCTTGGGAAATGGTCATGATTTTGCCGCGATCGCGCAAGCCGACAATGATGTTTCCGTGACTGTGGGAGACGATGATAATGTCTACACAGCCGTGGGAGGTAATCAGAATTTCGCCGTGATTGCCGAAATCCACACCCGTCAAAAGACACCGGATTACTGGAGTGATGCAATGCTGGATTATAGAGGGTCTGTATGTGTATGAAAAACCACACAATCAGGAACAATAATGATTGAATATTACTTACACGACTCCGAACAAAGTGAAGAACCTCAATGTGATGGTGAAAAGAATGAAGAATACGAAGAATATGGACACCATGGAAGCTCTTGCTAATCGAGCCATGTCTTTCTGTCAAACAAAAATAAGAGTTGATAGTTAACGCCATAGTTTTAATGAAAGATTATCACATGAATCAGCTGTATGAAAGGAAGGAAGTTGGTAAATTTTACACTAATAACCACTGAAATAATTTATTGTAGTAAAACAAATTTGTAGGGTATATTCAAGGCCACACTAAAAAAACAGGCCGTAATGCTCGCCCAGCATGACGTCACGATAGAAGCGGCTATGACGTATATTTATTTATTTTCCAATGAAAGATTAAAACAAGCAGCTGATCACAAACGGCAAAATTACGTCATTGCCGTCTTCTATTGTGACGTCATGCTGGACGAGCATTACGGCCTGTTTTTCTAGTGTGGCCCTGGTATATTGTTTAGTGTTTATACACAAGTTTGGGTTAATTTGAGCTGAGCTTAACATTTTTTGGTCCTAACTTGTACTGACTTTTGATTTTTGGAGCTTATTCATACTTTTAATAGTTCCTTTTTTACAGTATCATATTATTCAAATGTGTGTTTGTAAACAATTAAGGACCGAGGGGTCTACTTTCAAACAATCCAAAATTCAATGACTTTACTCACAATGGAACTGGCAACCTACTGATTTCCAGACAAAGCACATATCCAAAGCATTCCAGGTATACAAACAAAGCTTACCTGAAGACAAAGAGGAACCGTTACTGAGAGAGTGCAAAGTAACACTACAAAATCTCTGCGGGCTAACAGAGCAGTAGACGAGAGTCCAAACATCCTCACGAGAACTTTGGTGACTGTATCTCCTACCACCACATTGTAACTGACCATAGCTAGGACATAACATATGGGAAACATAAGACATAGTAGTCCTACTCCTACAATGCTTCTTAATAAAGTTTACTCTTTTCTTTGTGGCCATTAGTACCTACAATGTTCGGCCTCACTAACTAGCCTCTCTCTCTTTAGAACATGTGCACCTTTTTCATAACTATCTCTTTGCATTCTTATGTATTGTACTAATTCCATCCATCCATTACAGTACCTCATGATTTTAACTCAAACTGCTTCATCATCTTTAAAATTAAAATTAAAATCTTTAAAATCATCTTTAAAATCAACATTATAATAGTTGTGCACATAATCTCTTGATTATGAACTGTTCTACAATTTTCAAGTTCATTTATTTAATCATGGAAATGGTACAACTTTTAATGGAACAATGATATACTCGCACGTAATATAACAATATAAAGTGCTATCAATTCACTATTTCTACATTCTTTTAAAGCCCTAAATTCTTCTATTTATATATATATTTTTATAACAACTTTTTTCTTTTTTTTCTTTTTTTCTTTTGTAAATAAATTTATTGATTTCGGTTAAGGTATTTTTACTAAAATGGTCTTAAATAATTATTGTTCTGACAATAATCTGAATTATATGAGAGAACTGTATTTACCGATGAATGGGTAAACAAACTGAAGTGCAGACAGTAGAAAGAACCCAGTAGATCCAAACGCTGCAGCCATGATACCAGAGTAGGAGAAACTTCCGCAGATGTGAGCAGATCGGACCATGAGTCGCAGGGAGTAGTCTGTGACGAGGGCTACAACAGCCAACAATACCAGACCCAGACCAAACCCTGCCTGTTGGAACGCAAACGGTATACCTGCAAACAAAGCATGTGGATGTATATCACACCATACCAAAACTTGCAGCCAACTTTGTTAACCCTCTGAGCACCACAGATTGCTCACTGATTTGATTGTGCCTCTTTGGATAATTATTTTTCCTAATTTCAGTTAAGATGGTAAAAAAGTAGCAAATCCCTGATTTGGGGTACAAATCACAAAGAATGAACACAAAGAACTATTTTGTAAAACTACACCCAGTCGACGTGTGGTCTGTGAATAATGGAGTTGGTCCACTGTGTATTTAGATGGCCTCGCTTATAAAGTTTTGCTGCAAATAGGTAAACTCCTCACAAGTTGCAAAATAGACATGTCCCAGAAGGGATTTGAACTACAGTACTCGGGGAGCGAGCTGGTCTACTGGTAGAGCACAGGGTTTCGGTGCCAGAGGTCCCAGGTTAAAATCCCGCTAATCACCAATGGATTTTATCTATGTGATAATGCTGCCCCCCCGACCCCCTTTAGGACTAGCCGGAAGTAATGTGTATAACAGTTCCAGGCTAAACAAAATACAGTACTCTATCTGCAGTGCTTCTCCTGACCATTGATCAGAGCTATCGGCAGTACCGGGACGGACCCAGGGGCTCAAGCTCCTTCTTACTCTCGGTTCCCACTCATGACTGCTTGCATATGTTGCTATTGGTTCTGCCTTATTTTATTTGTAATTTTTTTTAAGCAGGTACATGTTGTTTACAGAAAACACAAGTTTAGCTGTTCTGTGTGTTTTCAAGAAAAGCTCTAAAATTTAAGAATGACAAATCAAAGAAAAAGTAGGTTTTTTATACATCATTTTTAAGGTTATTAACTGGAGACATTTTAAATAATCTGGCTCCCTATAGTATAGATGAGTTTATAAATCAAAAATGAATTAACTGTCCATTCTAAAATAATTGTCAAATTTATGGTTAAGCCATTTAGATTAAGTTTTATAACTAATGTTGTATGCTTTGACACTATTCATGTATATAAAATGTATAAAGTGAATAAAGATAATTTGATTTGATTTGATTTGAATAATATTTTACACTAACTACGGTCCAGTGTAGCATAGAAAAACTTAATTTTTCTCACAAATTTAAACTTTCATTGCAGAATAAGGGTACATTTGATGAGAAGACACTTTTTGACCATGTGATGAACTATATTCTTCATCATATTGCAACAAACTAAGATAGAAAACAAAAATTCTTTTCATGTAGGCTACAGATAACCTCTCAAAACAACTTCAAACTTGCTTTCCATATTGCTAATGCAAATAAGCAGCTGAGGTGATACTTTTGTCTATTCCGACTGTGTTATTGTTTATCATGCTATCGATATGACAAACTATTGACAAGAATGCAACACTAAGCTACAAACTTAAGTAAATCAAACGATAAATAATTTTGATTTGATTGCTTACAATCAAGTTTACATATGTTTACAACAGCTGGTCTTTACTCTTCCTAGAAATCACGGGATTTCCGTCTTTTAATCCCGGGATTAACGGGATTGCAAAACCTATGTTACTATTTATTTTTTTGTGAAATTGAGGAGTTTTTACTTACGGAAAATAAATAAAAAGCACATAAACTGTTTATTTTTAAGACGATAAATATATATGAAATGGTATAAGTTGTGATCTATTTTAAATGGACAATTTAATTATCATTAAACTCAATAGGCGAACATAGCATAAATATATGTTTAATGATTAGACGAATTGGAATTATAAGTCAATTACAGTAGGCCTATAAATTATTATGAGTTTTACTTTTGACATTAAACGTAAAAAACGCAATTGATGTGGCAAACATAACATGGCAATCAGTATTGAAGTATTAGTAACTTAATAACATTGAAAGCCTGAAAATTAACTATAAACACACCATTATTTTTTAATTATTAAGATTGCTTATGTTTAGGGTCTATAACCTAATCTACCTATTTGGTTTAATAGCGTGGTGATTAAAATTTGTACAATCCTAGATATATTTTAAACAAACTTGGCAAATACATTGATTTTATACAAAGCTATTAATACCTTTGCTAAAAACACACTTTATCACCCTCCCTGTAGCAGAAAACCTAGGTACTCGTCAAACCTAATGTTAGCTAAAAAGATTTAACCCTCCGAGTGTCATGCGTCGCTGCAGCGACGCGTAACGCACTTTGTATAGTGTCGTGCGTCGCTGCAGCGACTCGCGAACACTGTTTACGGCGAAGGCTCTATGACTAACTGAATCGGACTGTACTGGATTGAGTTAGGTATCGTTCTGTCCGTAATATTCTAAGCTTTCTGCAGAGGTCTGTCTCTAAGCACTATTCATTTTAGTTCCGAAAATATTGTAGCAGACAGCTGACTGAGCTGACGTGCGTGTATTTGTAAACAGCTAGGTTACCCTCGGACCGATGACTGATGTGTTTTATTACGTTTATCATTGTTTTAGTGTTAAAAATCAAAAGTAGTGATATACGTGGTGCATTATAAGAAGATTTAAGTGGTTTTGAAGTGCTGGTTGATGATCCTGAAGAAGTAGGTAGTGATATTGATGTAAATTATCAGCCAGATTCCTAGCTATGGTTGGGCTATGCATTCTTAGCTAAACGCTATGTACTGAAATCTGTTTTTTGCCCATAACTTTTTTATTTGCAAATCTACTTCCTTATATTATTATAGATTTGTAATCCTCATAAAATTTAGAACAAAGTGGCTATTTTCAAATATTTATAGGCCTATAATTTATACAATTTCATTGAGCGCAAACTTATTTTTTTTTGAAAATTTTCGAAATTATACATTTTTTTACCTAAAAAATTTTTTTTTTTTAAATCTTCCTTATGTTTTATATATAATATTGAAGCCCAAGATTTTCCAAACAAAATGGTATATAGAACAGTATAATTCACATTGTTTTTAAGCTTCTCAGATCAGTTTTAATAAAACCTTGCAAATGAGCAAAAAATAGGCTGACATTAAGGCCAAAACACGTGACACTCGGAGGGAAGTGAAAATCCAACAAATAGAAATTCGCTTAGTATGTAGGTTTGCTGCAGCGGAGGAATGAATCTGTTTGTTATTCGTATATTTGTTGTGCTAATTTTTAGCTTAAAAAAAGAAGTTAGGGGTGTCAAAGGAGGATTAACTTGATGCCTTGAATAGAATTGACAACAGAAGAATTTATTAAATTTTTTTTCAAATGTTTAGAGGCTGGTGTTTGTTTTAATTATTTTCTGTGTTATCTGACCAGTTTTCTTGTAGAATATTCTACTACATTAGTTGCTCCGATGTATAATTCTTAGTTGAATGGAAAATTTGAAAGAGATAATAAACTAATATGGTTCTGGTACAAAAGAAAATATCTACAAAATAATTACATTGATAAGAAGATGACTTTGAATCCTAATAAATTTCCATTATTTATTTCTTGTTTCCTAAAGATAATAAATAGTCCAGTTAATTTTTATCAAATCATAGTAGATTTCTTTGGCATTAGATAACCTGATATTTTAACTTTAATGGGTTAATGACATTATAATTAGGCATTGTTTAAAAAAATCAAGAAAGCAACATTATTCTTCTCTATGAAACTCAAATCAAACAAAATAAAAAAACTAGCTCTTCTGAAGACTTGTGATTTTAAAATTGCAATTTAATTTAATTATAAATACTTACAAAAGGTTTATCCCTTGAATTCACAGGAGTACAACTTAGAAGCCACAATTCAAAAAAGGATACCAAGATAACATTAAGAACTTAATCCTTATCTCATCTGTAAGTATAAAAGAGGATGTTGGTTTGTATATTTGTATGTTTGGCAGTGATAAACTAAGAGACAGTTTGACTGATGGCCTCAAAACTCGGTATATAAGTATGTAAAATTTCATGTAATAGGTTCGTGATAACTTTCAGGGCTTAGCCCTGGGACCATCTTAAAGGTACTCATGTAAGGGATTTTGAAAGACCATTTAAAAAGAATATTTTTGAGAGCTATTTCAAATAAACCATGGGTTCTATGATGGTCAATAGCATTAAAAAGTTACAAGGATTACCAACAGATTGCAGCACTATTATTTTACGAATTTCCGTTGGTGAGTCGGTGGCTCAGTTGGTAGCGTACGACCCAGACTTTGGGCCCAAGGCAGCAATGTCAAGGGATCCTGGTCACTGCCGCAAACATTTTATCAGTAGGCCTACAGTTCACCTTTGTACTGTACCGGCTCACCCCTTGCTTTGCTGGATACTCTAAACTTTGTTTAGTGCTTGCTGTTACCACTAGCCAACCTTAAGTAAAATAGTGATAGTTTTTGTAAAAAAAATAATACAGGTTGAAATTAAAGCAAACATGCGTACTCACCCAATTCCCATAAGATGTTGATAAAAAAAAAAACTTAATATCATGACAACCGATCAGATGTCGTGTTTAAATATTTACTCCTATCAAAACAAACTTTTCTATCTATTTATCTTTGTAGCATCTAGCTATGTAAGCTTGGATTTAATCCTTAACACGTTCGCTACCACAATTATATGGAATTTACGTTCGCATAGACCAGCGACACAATTGTGCGTCGACTCGTTTCTCACAATAGACCACCGACGCATATTTGCGTCAGCTGGTCACATTGAAATGGACTAACGACGCACATTTGCGTCGGTATTCTAATGTTATTAAACAGCGTATTTCTTAGCAACGGTCTATTTTAGAGCCCGGATTTTATCATATCGGTCTAGAGGGATATCTGCCGCAAATGTGCGTCACTTGGTCCGTGGATATGACGATTGGTTACGTCACACAACAGTTGGCAACATTGTTGTTTACATTGTGTATTCCGCGACATCACAGAACAGATGTAAACGTTATAACCTTTGCAGTTTTGGCTAGTGTTTAGTGGAGTTTCTTTAGTTGTTTATGTAAAAGCTTGAAACAACCAAATTTACAACGACGCTTACGTGCGTCGCCTGGTCTATTGAAACGAAAATGTAATCTTTTTAACTGGATTTCGTTAAATAGACTGACCGACGCATATATGCGGCGTTTTAAAATTCGCTCATAACGAAAAATAAAAACAATATTTATTGCTTACTAATTCACTTAAGGTTATTATTAAGTCAATTAGTCCATTTAAACGATATTTCTCTTTTGGTCTGTCGGCAATGTTATTCCTATATCACTTGGTCTGTAAGCAACGTCATGATCATTCCTTTTAGTCTGTAAGAGTGACCGGACCGACGCAAATGTGCGTCGCTCGGTAGCGAACGTGTTAATAACTGTTACTGCAATGGATAGAATGGTAGTAATTTGGTAAAAAAAGTAGTTCGAAGCTTTTTGTAGAAAGACAGTTAATTTTTCAAATGAAAAGTTTCTCACTTATTTTGACTTCAGTAGTCCCACATGTCTAATTAGGTGATTAGGCTATAAGAATGGATTCAATCCATAATAACTGTTACTTCAGTAGACTCCCTCTTATCCGGACACCTTTTAACCGGACATCGGTTTAACCGGACTACACTCGGCGGAAATGACATCTCTTTAACCGGACAATTTTTATCAGCACATTAGTTTAACCGGACTAGATCGGCAGGAAGTGGGCGGTACTGATACTACTGTTCTCGTAGGAAAGATTTGAGACCAGTGATCACGTGTCTAAATACAATGCTCTCCCAAATTTAAGTCAAATATCACAGTAAACAGTCCGTTTTAACAAGTTTTTGGGGACGTCGGTTTAACCGAAAAAAACCGTTATCCAGACTGGCCTTAGTCACGAGGAGTCCGAATAAGAGGGAGTCTACTCTATATGGAAAAATGATGTAAAAAGCCATGTCTTCATTTTTCTTTGATTTTTTGCTTCATTCCATAGGAAGTAAAAAATGCTAATCTACACCCCAAAACATGTATAAAAAAACGGCTGTTTTTGCTGCAGTATGACAAAAAATAGGCCTACATTTATACTTTCACATCTGTGAGAATACACAAAACATAACTTACCGGTAACTAAAAGTTGTATCAATGACTCCGTTACCTATGCGGTAGCTTAAATGCTATGTGTTGTACTCACCAATAACACCACTCCCGATGATGGAGTTTATGTAGTTGAAACTTGCATACCCAAGGCCAGTTTGCTTTCTCTTTTCATTCTGAAAAAAAAATATCTAAAAAATATATTGTTATTTTATGAGCGTCTTGGCCTTTGGAAAATATTGAGCTTGATTTACACCTGGGGATGGTTTTAATATACAACATCCAACAAAGTGGCAAATGTGGCAACAAATTTAATGATCCTGTCATCTCACAAGAAAATAAATTGTAACCACGAGAGGGAAAAACATAAACACACACAATAATACAAACACAGAAAACAAATTATATTTTTATTTGTATATTGAACCACAAAAAGTGGAGGAAACGTGATTTGGATTAGGTAAAAATTCCCCCTCCCTCTACAAGCATTGATACTGTAATAAATAGTCATACTTTAAAACACGTTCACTGCGGCCATACTTCAAACAGGCACACGCCAATGCCGAATCAGCGAACACAATTGGCATTCAAATATTTCAGTCTGACGAATTACAAAAGAGCAGTCCAGTCAGCCATTGTGCTGCGTTTCCTCGAGAGTGAACGTAGTTCACCCAAACGTAGCAGTTCTGCCTCGATTCGAAGCCCAGAGTCTTTGTAATGTGGCTTGAAGAGAGAAAATCCCCGAAACCGAGACAAAATCATTGCCAGACGGGATTTTACGGGAAATTTTAGTATGAACTTACACCAAAATAAAGCTCATATGATTGCATGTATCTCTCTGATACCCTGCTTACTATTTATTGACATGATCTATTGCATTTTACGTATAATGTTTATTGATCAAATAAGTCTATCTAAACTTATCTATCACTTACCTCAAACAACTGATCCGTATCACTTCCGGGTATCTGTGCAATGGAGTCTATGCTTGGCTGAAAAGATAGGTCATGATGTTAGAGTTCATTCTTTAGTACAACCCTTCAAAGTCATGGGGAAAAAGACATATAAGTATAGCCTATATGTATGTAATTTATATAAGTTAGGCTAAGTCTAGAAAAAACTTAATACTTACATCAAAACAAAATGACAATTGTCTTACATATCCGACCACCAACAACTACATCTTCCACATACCTAGTACAAAGGCTATCTAACTTAGGCCTAAGTTACCTAAGCAACAACTTATTCTTTTCCATATGTCATCACAATAGGGAACTTAACTTATGGAACTTAATACCAACACAGCTCTTCTCATAACTCACCGCTGGTGCTTTTTATAAACCACATTTACTAACAATTTTTACACGCCAAAGTAAAATATGGCAAACACACAATATGGCGTATCGGGCAAACCGTGAATCATGGTTTTTAACGGTTAAGTATGGTATTTATGTTAAATAGGGCACTCACGTTAAATTTGATATAACTGAATCTTCTTGAAGATTGATATAACTTACTGTAAGTTAACCAGTGTGGTGTTTGGTTAACTGGAATAGGCCCTATGCAAAAAAATAAGCCATGCAATTTATTTTCACGTTTTTCTTGAAACAAAAGTTTGTGAAGTGGTACTGGAGCCAGAAGTATGACTCACAGGCCCAGGCTGTGCGGTGCACCAACCTCCATGCTCACACAATAGGCACAAGGGTTCAGGCTATTACTGTAGTTCAGTTGGCTAGTTCCCGCATCACTGCAACCTGATTTTTACTAGGCCTAAGTATAGTCAAGCTTACCGGTATCGAGAAATCTTGCTGTGAAAACATCATTAATACTGTTTTGAAGTTCATAAGTTACGCTAATATTGATTGATACTATTGAATTGAAAATATTGTATAAATATTTTGTAATATATCTAGGCCTATTATAAAATTAAACCATCATAACCTAGGTAACCTAACCAACCAAACTTGCTGATGGTGAAAAAATCGCATGAAAGTTTACTAATCGAATAGATAGTTTCAATCGATATTAGCATAGCCCAGTTAAGAAACTGTACCCAAACGTTAACTTAACTACTTAGGCCTAATATTTGAGCAGGAGAAGCAGATAATGATAGGCTACCTGTTGCTGTAGCACTGTTTTGTGAGCTTCTAAAATATATTTCTTTTCATTTAATTCTTGTTTATCATTCATTTTCACAAAATATATAGCAATGGAACTTAATTTAAAAATACACTGTACACTGTACACAATAATTAAAAAAATTAAATGTATGACAGTGAGTTCAGCTCAACCTAATTGCAATATTATGAGTGACTTGACTGAGTGACAGTTGACAACTACTGCTGACAGTAGTCAAAGCAGAAGCAGACCAGGTGGTTACCTTCAATCATCACCACCCACACAAACAAAACAAAGTCGAGTCGCCGAGTGGAGTGGAGTGAGTCGATTTCGATTTCGATTGGTTGGGGTCGATGTGACGAAGTAAGATAGACAGCTGAGTGAAGCGCAGATCAGACCAATGAGCGTTATATCACAATAAAGCTATGTCATAGATTAAACATACTGCCCATTTGGTTTAATCTATGGCTATATCTGGAAGTGTGGTGAGCGAGCTGGCGTAGTGGTTAGAGCGCGGGACTTCCATCCCTGAGGTCCCGGGTTCGATCCCTGCCAACTCACCAATGGATTTTATCTAAGTGATAATGCCGCAACCCCCAGGTCTAGCCTGAAATAATGCAAAAAGCAATCCCAGGCTCGTGTCTAGCGTCCTAGGAAAAAAATATATCTGGAAATATCGCCAGAATGGAATTTAATTCCTAAAACAAGCCTAGGCTGGTACCTAGTGCCATCGTGAGGATTAAGATAATTAAACATTTGACACATTTCCAGAAGCGTCTCAGAAGACAGTTCACTCGAGCAAGCAGTGTGGCAACATGGACAGTGTGGTAATTACAGTATATGGGCTTTCCAGCTAGGAAACCAAGGAGTTTTATCGTTGCCATGTCGTCCACGGAGTCTCTGGGGGGGGGGGGGGGGTACAAAGGAGTTTTGTCTCCATTCGGTTGCAGCTTTGTTCATGTGAAACCACGCTTTGTCTTCTTGGACCTAGATTGTTGCTAAATCCCTAGTGTAGTGTAGGTTTGGCCCTCTAGTGAGAAGCATGAGTAGTGTGATAGCGACAACATGACTGTATCTGTCCTGGGCCAGGCCAGCCTGAGCCCCCTAGCTGTGGCAGTCATGCGTAATTTTCCGGGGGTGCGATAGGACTGAATGGGAATAATGGAATCTCCCCGTTCTCCCGGCCTAATTCCCATCACCCTACCCCCGGACACACAGTGAACTAGTGGGATAGTGAACGGATTGGCTCATGGAATCGTTTACGGAAATATTTACTCCGTGTAGATTTGTCAGCACTTGATTTTTATTAAAATAATTTAAACAGGTATGATTACCTTTTTATATAATAATAACATTGTAGTAAATATTTTTATGGGCTCATGTTAGGTTAGGATAGGACATTTCTTTCTTGATCTGAAAATGTATGCCACACAGTTATGTTTGATCTCTTTGAAAACACGACGCAGCAATTCGGCGAACGATCCCATGAGGTGATCCGTTTCCAGTGGCCGGACCCCCCACACTCCTTATAAGGTGGCCGAGGTGGGTACGGTTGTACCTGAACTCGCCGCTCTCTTTCACGACGTCTTCAAAACTTTACTTAAATACTTTTCAATAAACTGGCTACCTATTAAAGATCCATGACAACCTCTTGGAACGAAAAACATACATGGTTTGTTGATCTCATATTCATAGTGTTTCGAACACTTTTAATCACTCACCACCGCACCTCTTTTAAGAACATAATAAAATAAGTAAACAGAAATGGAAAAATGTAAACAAACAAACTATACTGTCAATTGCATTGACCAGCTGTTGTTCACTAAATTAATCGAACAACGTTAACTTCCATAACATGCATGACCTTTGGAAATCAGCCTGTGGGGCAGATCCCTTAGGGAGTTCGTCCACATCAATACTTTTCGGCAAATCTACACACTCTAAGCTTCATTTTGATATGCTATATGCCTATATTTTGTATTTGGTAAATGGCCTTAACCGTTTACATAAAATTGGATTGTATCACTTTAATAATATAATAGATTGTGTTGTGATGGGATTTTGTATTTTCATAGTATGTTTTATTGATGTTTTAGTGGATTTAAGTAAAATAGAGATTTGTGTAAAATGTAAAGAAGAAAATGAATTGAGCTAGCTTTTCTGTTTTCATTGAATGTTTCATTAGTATTTGTTATTTTTAAAGATGCCTCAAAGAGATCGCGCACGCAATGAAAATAATAGGGATATGATGAGACATAATCGTCTTCACCCTTATCAACTATATGTCAAATATATCACCAATTTCGAAGTCATGAAGTGACGCAGGCTGCTAGTATCCTATTCATTATGTTACAAGTCAGGAGCCCCGTGCAACAATAGCCAGGCGCCGTCTCAAAAGGGTTGTTTGTTTACACGGGTTTTCTCTGAACGCACCACCGATAGACAATAGACCCATGTCAACGGACTATCTCAATAGAGGCTCCAGAACCTTCTACACTTCTACGCCGGTTTGTAAACAACGGATACTCGAACTCTCCACTCTAGATTGTTCTACGGCAAGGTTATATAAGGGACCGTCTTCCGGCACACGGCAGTTGAGTTGAGTTGAGCCTTCCGAGAATCGTCGCACCAAGCGCCCGTCGGTGTTAGTGACCAGTGCTAGTGCTAGGGGCAGTGACAGTGTAGTGACGGTGTAGAGACAGTGTAGTGACACGAGTGACAGTGTAGTGACAGTGCTGTAACAGAAGTGGTGATAAATCCTGTAAAGGTTAGCTGTAAGTAGAATCATTGTAAATTAGAATAGGCTTTAGCTAGGTTAGATAGGGTTAGTTAGGTGTTAGGTAATTGTAATATCTGTAAATACAGTATAGAATAATTAGTGTGAATAAAATAGTTATTATAAAATCGCCAAGTTTTTATTGTAAAGAACCCGTTAAGCCCGCAACAATTGGTGTCAGAAAGCGGCATTATTTTGGCGATTTTATTTGTAAAAAAGTTTTAAGGATTTTGTTAGATATTAGTAATTTGTGTCATAATTTTTCTTAAAAACAACTATTTATTGTAAAATTATTTTAACTGTAAGGCATAAAAATGGCTTTCAAAGGTGTTAAACTTGATGAGTTAAAAGTAGCTGATCTTAGGAGGGAATTAGAAGAACGAGATCTAGATACGAGTGGAACTAAATCAGCCCTTCAGGCACGCCTTAAACAAGCTTTAATTGATGCGGGTGAAGACCCAGAAAACGTTTTATTTGAAACATCTGATATGAATAAAATGCTTAAGAACTTAGAGTCAAAAATGTCGGAAAATAGTAAAACATTAGAGTCAAAAATGTCAGAAACTAGTAAAACTTTAGAAACCCTAGAAGCTAATATTGAGGCAAAAATGTCAGAAAGTAGCAAAACATTAGAGTCAAAAATGTTAGAAAATAGCAAAACATTAGAGTCAAAAATGTCAGAAAATAGCAAAACATTAGAGTCAAAAATGTTAGAAAATAGCAAAACATTAGAGTCAAAAATGTCAGAAACTAGTAAAGCGTTAGAAAACCTTGAAGCTAATATTGAAACAAAAATGTCAAATGTAGAATCAAAAATGCTAAACAAGTTAGATGAGTATTCTAGCAAAGTTGATGATTTAGAAAGTAGGATGAATGAAATAGATGAGAAATTTAATTGTATAGAAAAAAATCTAGAAGATAGGTTAGTTAAGCTTAGGCAGGAAATGGCTGCATCGGGGAGCTTCACACCTGCGTCATCGGCTAGCACTGGCGTACTTCAGCAGGATAACGCCCTAGAAACGATCTCCAAGCCAGCGCCCACCATTGCTGCCGTTGCCCCTCAGAACATCGTTCCTCACTTCGATGGCAAAACCCCCTGGGAGGACTACATGCTTCTCTTCGAGACAGCGGCTATGGTCCATGGGTGGACCGAGGAGACAAAGGCTTCAGCACTGTGCCTTGCACTACGGGGCGATGCATTAGCTGTTCTGCATGCTATGCCAATGGCGGAGCGGAAGAATTTCGCAGAATTAGTAAGAAGATTGGACATGCGCTTTGGTCATCGACATATGGACCAGCTCTACCGATCACAGCTGCGGAACCGGATCCAGAAGCCCAGCGAATCACTCCAGGAGTTTGAGGCCGACATTGCTCGCCTGGTGAGAAACGCCTATCCATCGGTCACGGATGATGTCTACGAGAGTTTGGCGGTGGATAAATTCCTAGACGGTCTACGTGAACCTGAGACTCAACAGGCAGTGAAGCTCGCAAGACCAAAGACCCTGAGTGACGCACTGACACAGGCACTGGAGTTCGAGGCTGTGCGACAGTCGGTGAGGGGCCAGGCTCGAGTCCGCGTGGCTGACGCAGAACCTACAACTCCACTGGACATTGAAGAGCTAGTAAAGAGAGTGCTGGAGGCACTAAAAACTCGTCGCCGGCAGATACGCTGTTGGGGCTGCGGACAGATAGGACATCCCCGGAGTAAATGTCCTTCGACCACATCAGAACCGAAGCAGGAAAACTAAGGAGGGTTGATGGAAAGGGGCAACCGTCAGCCCGCGATTGGAAAGCCCCGAGGAAAAGTGGTAAAGTTGCTTCACTGGGAAGTCAGTCGAGCAGTTTCTACGTCGACGGAAAGGTGAACGGGCGTCTCCAAAGCTGTCTTCTGGACACCGGGGCGACTATGACCATCCTGAATCCAAACACTGTGTCGACGGAAGATATTTCACCAACATCATGGTCTCTACGTACAGCTACAGGTCAGCTGGCTCAGGTCTATGGGCAGACGGTTGCTACCTTCCACATCGGCGGCTGCGTGTTTCAACACTGCGCACTTGTTGCCGACATAGACGAGGACGTGATTTTGGGAACCGATATAATGGTGAAGTACGGACTGAAGTTAGACATGTCAAGAGGACTAGTGACTCTCGGAGACGAAGATGTCATACTTCGGCGTGGAAAAGATATCTCTGCACGCGTACTTCTACTAGAAGACACAACGCTACCAGCGCGCAGCCAGGTCATCGTTCAAGCCACAGTCGAAGGAGATTGGACTAGTGGGCAAAGTGTTCTGCTGGAGCCAGCAAGTGACAGTGAATCCCAGCTTGGA